GCAACTACTCCAATTAAGAGGTTTCTTGGGTTAGAAATCTGTGACCTACAATGAGTTGTCATAGAAACCAGTATGAACATTTCAGCTCAAAAATCACTTCAAAATAATGGCTTAGTTCATCATCTCATACCAGGTGACATAGCTCCTTTGAATCCAAAATCTAGAGTCTGTCCCTACACCAAAATTCTTCTGCCAGCCCTGGGTGATAGTCAGACTATTTTACTTCTGGTTTTTATGTATACTGCAGTTGCTCCAGTACAGATATTCAGTACGAGGATATTCCCAGAGCAGGGGAATGGACTAGAATGGCAACAGAGGGAACTGTGGGAACTGTCTGAATAGCATCTCTGGCGGTAACTAGAAAGCAGGCATGACAAGTGTGTAAGTGGGAAGCTGGAACGTGTTAATGCATATATGTGCCTTTCATTTTCTATGCACCATCTCCAAGAACGGTGCATTTCCATGGGACAATTTTTTCAGAGCTCTCTCTGTATCTATCTTATGCTGCAAGGAAATCGTAAAGCCTTTGTTGTGTCTTTTAAAAGGGGGATGTTGCGGAGAGTCTGACAGTGGGTGCTTCCCCTGTCATGGCTTGTTTAGTGGCTCCCTTTCTTTCATTCACTTTCCCTTCAAAAGCCTGCTGGAAGCCTGCTCCTGAGGCTAACTTCTTGTGCTCTTTTCTTGGTTGAGAAGCTCTGGGAGTCTGTGGCCACTATGGATCATGCTTATACTGACTTCTTTCGCAGTGCTGCATTTCTCAGTCATATTCTTTCTCAGCATATGCAAGGCTCAATTGGAGAGTTTGCTATGTTTGTCAGTGAAGAAGCTGCTTTCTTCTGGTTTTCCAGCCATGTGATAAAGCTCCTACAGCTTTAGAGCCTTTAGAACATCGAAAGGGTAACGAGTCTTCTGTTCACCTGCAGAGAGAGGAGTTGATGCGGTCATATAAGACATGGAGAGCCAGAGAGATCAGCTGGAATGGGACCAAATTAAATGCATTTACTCTGCACTGTTCCATTAATGCCAAGTAATTACCACATACAGTGGGATTTTTGTTTTGTTTTGTTTTGTTTCATTTTGGCACAAGAGAATTCTTTTCAAATGTGAATGCATTAGGCAGTCCGGGCTGCTGGGCTCTTAGGTAAATTATAACAAGCCTTCCCTATTCCCATATGTTCCTCTCCCTTCCCCTTGGCATTTGGAAAGCTGGCAATACAAAGATGGGAAATGCAAATGCAGAGAGGAGGTCTCTTTCCCAGTGGCAGTGATGCTGGTTCTGCCACTCTGGTGCAAACTCTTGGCCTGACTTCTATCCCCAGGATGCTTCCTTGGCAAATTCAGAGTGGTCCAAGGATGGATATCAGAGAAATGTTCCAGCTAGAAGGAAATTTTCATTGGGGCATGCAATTCTCTTGTGTTTGAATGTGCAAGTACTGTCTAATCCCACTGGGACCCTGATCTCTGAGAACAGTACTGCCAAAATACAAAAAACATGCTCAGGCTGCCATGAAATTCCTATGCTAACCATCTATACTGGACACTAGGGACTGTGTTGAAAGAGGGATGGAGAAGGGTCAGAGAGATACAAAACTGCTGTATATGACAGTTCTTGTATTTTGGGGCCCAGGCAGCAATAAATGTAATGATTCTCGACAGAGTCCAGACTGTCCTCTCTTCTCAGTGAAGTGATAATTTCTATAGCGAAGGGCTGATAATTTTCTTGGCTTTATTTTGATGAGTGTCTGGAGGAAAAGTTAAAAAAGCACCTTAAGGTCTGTTGCTACTCCAGGTTTTTTTCCACACATACTGTCCCAGTCCCACAAGTCCCTCAATCCCAACTTAAAGCTTTCAAAATGCTTGCTGGGAGGGGGGTCAGCACCTCTCCTTAAAGACCTTCATCAGCCCATGTAGCCTGATCACTCATGGAAAAGCCTTCTGCAGCACAGTGAGGTGAAGCTTACTCCATGTTTGGAATGTGGATGGTAGCACCTCCTTTTTCCTCTCTTTCTTGGAATGGTTCTCAAAAAACCCCTACAATTTTTATGCCACTCTACAGGAACCTCATTTTCCCACTTGATTCTCCCTAAAACTGTGTTGTGGATCCCAGCTGATGGGAAGACAGGATGAGATGGGAAGAAGGAGACTCCTTTCCACTAGTGAATATTGTACTCATTTCCAAAGGCGTCATCCCTTCCCTTTCACTGTCTCTCAGTGTTCTGGGAGTGGGGCTGGTTCAAGATTCATATAAGTTGTGTTCCAGCCAGGGCCTGTGGCAGATCTGCCAAGGCTGGAAGCTTTGAATCATGGAAGGGGAGCTGTTTTGCATTTCCTTTAGCTGCACTGTTTTCCTGAAATAAGATGTTTTGTTGTGAGCATGCATCCATGGCTTGTGGACATCCTGTGCTTAGGTCGTGCTCCACCTTGGTGATTCCTACATGTTTTCTCTCTTCTCTCTAAATAAGGTGCACAATTTTAGGATAAGTGAAAGATTCAGTTTTTAGGTACAAAAGTCACATGTCAGCAGTATGCCTGCTACAGACTGAATATATATATATATATATATATGAATCATATCAGATCATGCAGTGCTCAAACAGTGGAACAGGCACAGGCAGCAGCACCCTCAAGTTATAGCCTGTATCAGTTCAGCAGTCAGACAGGAGCAGTTTCCAACACTGAAAAATAACTATAGTCACTGAAAAACTATGCATGGTAGAAGGGGACACAACTGAGCTTGAGCTGTGGGGAGATTTTTTGTTTCATAGCATCAAACAAGTACAGTGTTCACTTTACAGGGAGCTGTTACTGGCCCCTGACCACTGGTCCTCAAACAGGGAAAATTCAGCACATTGCCCCAGTTGGATAAGGTCTCCCCAGTACCCCATCAGTGAAAGCAGTTGTAGGATGAGAACTGTCCAGGATGTATGCTGGAGGAAAGTTTAAATCACACATTACTATCTCATTAGTGTCCAGCTTTCCTAGCTTGCCTTAGAACTGTGGGCTCTTCACTCCATTTCACTGCTGGAGCTGGAGTATATTAAACTTTGGCATATGTTGATGATCTTGCCTTTGTCCAGGACTGCTGTCCTTGATGGTGGCTTTCAGGGGTTCTTTTCCTGACCATTAGCTGGTCATTCACTGACTCTGAAACCTTTCCTTGTTACGCATCTCCTGCATTTTTTGTCAACTAGTTATGACTGTCTTGATAGTTTAAAGTCAATACATCTTCTATCTCCAATTACCTCAGAGCTGGGATTTCTATGAGAAAGATAGATTTGATAAAGCATCTTTGGGATTTTCAGTGGAAAATATGCACAAATCTGAATCATGATGCTCCATTATCTACAGGATAGTTTGCCAATTATTAACAAGGCCATTTTAACATGCAGGGTTTATCATGTTTATACAAGATTGGAGACTAAATTTTAAAAAGTGAGAGGGAAGGAGTCATAGGATTCAGTGATAAGGTAAATGACCAGTAACTGTTTTGAATGTGCACTGTTTTGTTGGAAGTCTCCTTTGGAAATAATTGTTACAGTCCCCAGGTGTCCTATTACAGTGTGCTCTGGTTTTACATAGAACTGACCTGCATTATTTACAAGTTGTCTCTAACTGATCATTCCAGTATTCTCTGCAGGTCAGAGGATCTAATTTCCAAGGTATTGTCATGCTGCTCATGTTTCTCTGAGAGGGTAGTGACTGTCCTTCTTTACACTGGTATAGAGGTAGAATTACACTTGCATGCATGAGGAGGGCTAGAGGAATGTCTTTAAAAGTGAAAAGGAAATGCAATGAAGATAAGGCTGCCTTCCATGATGGGTGTCACTTGACTATTCTGACACTGATTCTTTTGCTGAGTTGTTTTGGATCAGAGTAACTGCTTTTACTGAATCATTGTTGCAAATGAGCGTAGCCTGACACTTGCACATGTTGTTGGCTGTCCCTTTCCCACAGGTTTGTGTTCTGACCAGCCACTAAAGCTGGCCTGTTCTGCCTGTTCAAGTGGTCCTGTTTGGACCTTTTATTAGCAAGACATCAAAGACTCATTTTGCCTTCTTGTAAGCAAAAACAAGAAAAGAGCTTTTTCTTTGATCTGCCCAAAGTGCTTCCCTCATCTCTGTGACTTTTCAAGAGTTGCAAATAAAAAGAAACAAAAACCAAAGTCGTTACAAATTTTGTGCAAGATCTTTGGATATAAAATCAAGTGAATGTAATAGTTGTTCAAAAGCACCCAAGTACTAAAAAGCAGACATGGGAGCACAGTGGTGTTGACTGTGACTAATGGAGATTAATAAATTAGTCAATATATGATACTTGTGATTTAGAGCCATCCTGAAGATCATGGCTGCCTGACTCTTCCCATGTTGCCAAGTAATAAGAGAATGGAGCTTTGATGGAAGAGAGGGAATCCTCTCTTTTCCTTCCCGCTGCTGACACCCTCAGTTATAAGCAGTGCTGTGTTGAAGGGGTTTCTCCATCAAAACTAATTACCCAAAATTATTTCAAAGCCATATGCCTATGCAAACAACTCCCAATAAGAGCTTTTTGCAGTAGCATTTACATCAATAATGTTTTTTCTCTAGATATCATACATTTTGTTTCATGTTGTTGACAGAATATATTGATAGTGTTGCCTCCTACCTTAAAGAGCTGGCATATTACAGAGTATATCAGCCCTAAATCCAAGCTGGAATTCTCCTCCCACCTATTTCCCTTAGTTTCTCCCTCATACTATGTTGGTATCACTGGAAGTTGAAGATATTCATTTCCTGTCAGGGCACTGCAGGCATTGCATTCATCAGGAGTGGGCATCTGGGATACAGTCTAGAATACTGCAAAAATTGGATCTTGAATACGTGTGTTCTCCTGCCTGGAACAAGAAATAAAATTAAATCAACTAAAATATAACAGGTTGGGTGCTATTCTGGATAAAAAACAAGTTTCAGAGTGGGAAAGCTGTTGTGAATAATTGAACTCACATTCTGATCCTCTCTTTACAGCCACAGGGACTTAAAACCAGAAAACCTACTGCTGGATGAAAAGAACAATATTCGGATAGCAGACTTCGGGATGGCATCGCTGCAGGTTGGGGACAGCTTGTTAGAAACCAGTTGTGGGTGAGTGTCTCAAAACATATTGCAAAAATGAGTGATAGATTCCAGGCACAGAAGTTGTCTATAGTAAGGGTCACTAAAGACCTGCAGACCTACACAATACAGTGGTATTTCCCAGCAAAATAATAAGTTTATATATGCATGTAGTGTATCAGATAGCTAAAAGAAGGGGGCTTAAGTGCTGTACAGTGAAAAGCAGGCCACTGTAGGTGTCATATATGGATATAAAAACTAAGACTTTCAGGTTTGGATTCATCTGCATGTGCTGGTATATGTTTGCATTTACTGGCCATATAATTTTTGGTAACTGAAAGCAGTAGTGTTTACTATTGTAAGAAGAGACTTGGAAAATATTAGAGAGTGAAAAAATAAATTAATCTAGAGGTTCTTAAATGGAACTTGCATGTCCTGATTAGACTGACTGTTTGCATGCAGCTCTTCGTGTTCATGCTCCACACTGCTTTGTTTCAGCTGACATGCAGGATTGAGGGGGAGGAAGCAGGGTCCTTTGCAATTACAAGCAGGGCATGAATACACGTACAAAGGAGACTGCTTGGAGGAATATTGCAGGGGCAATCTAAAGACATTTCCATGGCAATTCAGTTGCCAGCAAGAGCTTTGTAGGACTTTCCAAGGGAACTGGCAGTAAGCCCCAACAGCTGAGCAAAGCCCGAGTGCCTGGCTAGGGACAGGACATGCTCTTCAGGGGAAGGCTCTCTCATCACCATTGTCCCTAGGGGCACCACTGGACTGTGTCCCACCCCCTCCCAGTGCTGTGGCATGGTGTCCTGTTGTCTGTGCAGGGGCTGCAGCAATCAACTGTAGCAAGGGCAGCAGCTGCATCGAGCTGCTGCAGCCTGGCACCACTACGTCAGCTTTTAGCTGCATCTGAATTTGTTATAACAGCAAGCTCAGCAACTAGACAGTACCAGCAGATTTCCACTTCCTGCCATACAAAACTGACTATTGACAGGAAGCTGAACATGAGCCAGCAGTGTGCCCAGGTGGCCAAGAAGGCCAATGGCATCCTGGCCTGTATCAGGAACAGTGTGGCCAGCAGGACCAGGGAAGTGATTCTTCCCCTGTACTCAGCGCTGGTGAGGCCACACACTGTGTCCGGTTCTGGGCCCTTCAGTTCAGGAAGGACATTGAGGTGCTGGAGCAGGTCCAGAGAAGAGCAATGAGGCTGATGAAGGGACTTGAGCACAAGTCTTATGAGGAGCAGCTGAGGGAGCTGGGGTTGTTTAGCCTGGAGAAAAGGAGGCTCAGAGGAGACCTCATCGCTCTCTACAATTCTCTGAAAGGAGGTTGTAGCCAGGTGGGGGTTGGTCTCTTCTCCCAGGCAACTATCAGTAAAACAAGAGGGCGTAGTCTTAAGTTCTGCCAGGGGAGGTTTAGGTTGCATATTAGGAAGAAATTCTTTACAGAGAGGGTAATCAGGCATTGGAATGGGCTGGCCAGGGAAGTGATGGATCCTCCATCCCTGGAGGTTTTTAAGATGAGACTGGATGTGGTACTTAGTGCCATGGTCTAGTAACCATGGTGGTACTGGATCAAGGGTTTGACTTGATCTCAGAGGTCCTTTCCAACCTGGCTGATTCTATGATTCTGTGACTCTTCTTGGCCTTCGTTAGTCTGAATCTGATGACTTCAGCCCTATCCTCAGCTGATTACAGTCCATGCTTTTTCAGTCCGTGCTCTAGGCCAAGGCAGTTTGGGGTAGACATGGAACCATTGGGGTTCCCTCTACAGCCCAGCCACTGCCTCTCAATCCTAGGCCATATGGCCCTGCTTTCCAAGTCATGAATAATGGATAGCAAAATTATATGAAGTTCATGGTATGATAGAATGCTAGTTGATTTTTTCCTGTCCATGTCTAATCAAGATTTGAGCTCTTAGCAGCACAGATGAAAAACAAGGAGCTGTGATGTCAAGGCTCACAATGTCCCACACCTGGATCAGGGAAACACCCAGTATCTTCAATACAGGCTGGGGGATGAAGGAATTCAGAGCAGTGCTGCTGAGAAGGACTTGGGGGTACTGATGGATGAAAGGCTGGACATGACCCAGCAATGTCCACTTGCAGCCCAGAAAGCCAACCCTGCCCTGGGCTGCATCAAAAGAATCATAGCCAGCAGGTTGAGAGAGGTGATGCTGCCCCTCTACTCTGCACTGGTGGGATGCCACCTGGAGCACTGCATCCAGCTTTGCAGGGTCCTCAGCACAAGAAGGATGTCAACCTGTTAGAGCAGCTCCAGAGGAGGCCACAAAGATGATTGAAGGACTGTAACACTTCTCCTGTGAGGACAGACTGAGAGAGTTGGGGTTGTTCAGCCTGGAGAAGAGAAGGCTCCAGGGAGACCTTGTTGCCATCTTTCAGTACTGGAAGGGAGCTGTCCTATAAAAAAGATGGGAGCAGGCTTTTTAGCAGGACTTGTTGTGATAGGATGAAGGTTTTGAACTACAAGAGTGTCGCTACAGTTTAGATATAAGGAAGAAGTTTTTTTTCATTGAGGGTTGTAAAATACTGAAACAGGTTTCCCAGAGCAGTGGTGGGCACCCTGTCCATGGAAACATTCAAGGTCAGGTTAGATGGGGCTCTGGAATGAAGTTCTCCCTGCAATTACCACAAAGCCTCTATCCTCTTTAGATAAAATTGTTTCCTTTCCCAACCCAGTCTCAGTTGCCCTGTAGGATTTTTCAAACTCCTTGGGAACCTCTCGGTAGGGTTCCTGTTCTTGTTAGCACCAAGCTCTGTCATCCAGATCTGGAGTCTCAAAGGGAGGCTTCCTTCCCATAAGCTGTGCTAGAATTCAAACCTCCATGCTTCAAGCAGATCCAGCCCCCACATTGTGGCCTTAAAATGCGCTAATAAAGAAATCAATGGAACGGAAGAGATGTGCCTGTAATAAACAGAACACAGCAGCAACACTATGATCTCCTGCCTTGCAGATGCATTTTAAGTTTGTTGCCAATCACTAGGCCTCCGTGTGAGCTATTACACCACTTCATTAATTCTCCTGGCATGGAGCCCAGCATGGCTGATGCTGGTGTCTTGTGATCTCTCTGGTTTGGGGGGTGAAGAGAGGGAGGAAGGAAGGAAGGAAGGAATATATAACAATATGCCACACTGTTCACAGAGAAAGGTAATCCAGTTATGACTCCCTTTCCCTTGGAGCACACACAGTAACCAACCTTAGAGATTTTCAAGGCAACAGTTTTACCTACCCTTGTAGTTGGTGCTTTCAGCCAGCATGAAAAGGAACAAAATAGACTGAAACATGGCTGAGATACTGAGCTGTAATGAGATGCTCTTCCATGCACCCAGAAGTTAATTTGGAGAATGGCTTTATCTGTACTGTGAACACTGATAATGAGATGAAACTGTAACGCTTCCATTGAAAGTCACACAAGGAGTCTCCAGGTATTTCTGTCAGTCAGAGTGGGAGGCTCAGATGGGGTTGAGCCGTGTGGTACAGCTAACTTTGTCAGTTCAGCAGAGCGATTAGACAGCAGTCAAAAATTCTTTGCTGTCACGAGTGAACTGCTAAGTTTAGTCCAAAGTTTGGGTAGTCTTCAGGTCACCACAGAGCCTTGACTGGCCTCATGAAGAGTAGCCTCATGTAGCCTGAAGTATGATGTATTGCATACCTCAGAGTCACTGTTTTCTGGGAGTTAGTCCTTAGGTCTGCATGGTTTTCTGTAGCACTGATGACGACCTGGAGAAAACCACAATAGTTCAATCCAGTTGTGTTTGTTTAGGAGAGAGAGGTAAGGATGGACTTGCTGTTTCATTGACATAATTTCTCACTTAACAGAGTGAGAATTTGAGCCTTGATTGTGATGAATCCCCATTACTGGAAATGTATGTTGAGAAAATCCTGCATATACACAGCACAAAGGAATAAGCCATCATTTCAAATTTCAGCCCTCGAGGGGAAAGGGAGATGTGTGTGGGGTCTGCAGGACTTATTCTGCTTGTGGCAGAAATTGCACAGCAAGGCAGTCTTATGGAGAGATGGTCCTTGAAATGCCAAAATAACACAGTGAGTCTCTGCATTCCTTCAGGAGCAGGGAAGGGCTGTCAGCTAGCAGCAGACAAGGAAGGAAGAGAAAGATATGATAGGCTGCTGCTTCTATTATTTTAGATCTCTTCGGCTCTTCTCCCTCTTTACCCATTCAGGCGGTGGCATACAGAGACTCCCCTGTCTCTTTCACAGCAATTCTTCCGGTGTGCTGCCTTGCAGTGTTTCCGAGTAGTAGATGTTGTCCAATCCACCCTGAATTGTCACTAGGCAAGAAGAGTGAGTGCTTTATGGTTAAACCTCAGGACTGAGACCCAGGTTATTTGAGCTTGATTTCTGTTTCTGCTGAAGGCATTCACAGTGGTCTAGGACAAGATGCATTGCCCTTCCCTGCTTCAGTTCTCCCTCTTAGCAAATCATTGAAGTGACTAAGTTGCTCTGAACGTAAAATGTGGTGATTTCTGTAGGAGTCTTGGAAAAGTAGGAAGGGTTGGTGCATTCCCTAGATGATGTTCCTTTTTTTTGAACTGAGGGCTTATGGCTAAAATGAAGTATTGAAAGAGGATACTGTTGCATTACAATTCCTTGGAGTTTGTAAAGATCCTTCCTAGTTCACCATTTACAGAAGCCTGGCAAAGTAAGTTTTTACCATCTCTTCAGTCCTCTCAATTTCACTCTTTACAGCTTCAAAACACTGCTGGATGGAGATGGGTGAAAGCTGCTGGGTGACAGAGAACCTGCAGCAGTGCTAGTGTTTGTACTGCCTGTCTCCCAGTCTCTCTATCCCAACCAAGAGCTAGGGCAGAGCTGGCTTGTAAAGGTAGCTCGCCTCAGCACCAGATCCGACCTCTGCAGAGGCAGTCAGGCTGACACCACTGTTGACAGTCCCCCAGTTAGCTGACTGTATACAACAGTTCCCCCATCTTGGTGTCTCCAAAGAAAACCCTGGCCTGATTCAGAAAGCCAAGTGCATGTGGG